CTCCTCGCCGGCCGTTACCCAAAGAAGGCCCCCTCACGATTCGGTGCTTCTCCTCCCCAATACGGCCGGGCCTGATGTTCAAGCACTCACGGAAAAGGCGAGCGCGACACTATTCTGTCTCGCTTCTTGCCCATTCCTATACTGCATACATATACGTATGTAGCATCGAAGGTTATCGGCAGAGGCACGACCGGATCGAACTCTCCCGCTCCGCACCCTTTTTCGACGCTTCGCACCTCCCAGTCCTCTGAGGCCTGTCAGAGAAGCCCGACGCCATCCTGCTGTTCAACCCGAGTCCGCTGCGGCACGAGGAGTGGCGTGGTGTGTTCATGCTCTCGCAAGTCTTGAATATCCGGAAGCATGCACAGTGACGTGACCTCGAGCTGCACGCGGTAACAGATGTGATGCATATACTGAGTGATATTGAGTTTGAGCATAAGGTGCGGCTGAAGTGGGTGGAGAAGCGAGGGAGACGAAGATAAGGAGGTTTGTGGGATAAACCCGTTCATGTACTACGGCCCGAGACCACAGTCGAAATATTTCGAATCTGGGTCGGATAATGCGTTCACGCTCGTTGTGGCGCTTGGGAAATCCTAACAACCGCCCAAGGACGGATGATCTATGTATAAGTACTTACCTTTGCTGTTTCGCGCCGATCTTTGTTGGGCGTGGAGCCTTCTCGAAGTTTTCACCTCGCGACGACGAAGTGTAGCATCCGACTCGGACATGTGGTCCATGCCTTAACGTTCCTCTGGAACATGTAAGGTGACTCAGACTTGAGTACTGCGCCATCTATATTCTTTTAAGACCAGTGGAGATAGATTTCTTGGACTTGAGCACTGCGCCATCTATATTCTTTCAAGGCCAGTGGAGAGAGATATGTCTCCTTCCAGCAGGGCTAGTGTGGCGATTGTGGTCAGAAAGAAGCCGCCGCCGAGCACCACTGACTTTGATCCTTCCAACACGATTGTGGCGATTGTGGTTGGAAAGAAGCCACGAGCTCCACAAACGCCAAGCAAGCATAGACGTCAACTTCTTTCCCGTCTATATTGTTTATTCTGCACCGCACCTTCGAATTCCTTGAATGTAAAAAGGGTTGAATGTTCCACCTTCCCAACGACCTGCGATAAATTCAACCCACCCTTGCACCTCTGGCGCCCAACTCGCCATGTCAATACCGCCAATTATTTCCCACCTTTCCATCCTCATCCCACCACCCGAGAAGCGTTCGGCAGGCTGGCTCCATCAGGCACCAGGCGACGAGCATGAGTTTGCCTCCAACGCATCATTGATACCCCCTCCCGTCGGCCCTTATGTCCTGTTGACCACACCAGAACGGATAACGAAGCCATACAACCCCACCGACGACGGCCGTCCCAGCTGTGGTAGCGGCAGTGGAAGAAGAGAAGACGAGAAGAAGATCACACAGTCAATGAATGCCAATTCTCTCAGGGTGCCGGGTGCAATCCGCGGACGCAAGTTCCACGAAGACCAGCCCTATCCACACACACTCTCCCGTCTCCTCGCTGACGCCACGCCCTTCGACCTGCCCCCGCCCACGTCGCCGATACGCAGCAGGAGAGCCAAACTGGGCCTGACCATCGCTTGGCGGTGGCACCCGTGGCCATGGCTCTCGCGCCTGCTTGTGCACCCCACAGCCTACCTCGCCCTCTACTTTACGCTCAATCTTAGCCTCACATTGTACAATAAATTACTCCTCATCAGCTTCCCCTTCCCTTACACGCTCTCTGCATTACACGCCCTCTGCGGCTCCATCGGCAGCCTCGTACTCGCACGCATCGGCTCGACACCAGTACCCAAACTCAACTCGCAAGAAACACTCGTTCTATTGGCATTCAGCGCCCTCTATACGGTCAATATCATCGTCAGCAATGTATCATTAGGTCTTGTCACTGTTCCAGTCAGTGCCCCATCACTTCACCGAGTTATCTTCTAACATGATATGTGGATAGTTCCATCAAGTCGTCCGGGCTGCGACACCACTCTTTACCATCCTTTTCTCTGCATTGATCCTCGGCACCCGGAGCAGCCGCATGAAGCTCGTCGCGCTTCTCCCCGTCGTGCTTGGAGTCGGCTTTGCGTGCGTCCCTGCTTTTTCAGTTCTGCTCTTCACTCTAACCTGGATGCACACAGCACATACGGAGACTACTACTTCACCCCATGGGGCTGCATCCTCACGCTCCTTGGGACCGTCCTCGCATCCCTCAAAACGATCTACACCAATTTCCTCCAAGTATCAGCCCCTCCACCGCACACCCATCTCCGCCCCTCTGACCCCATCCCGGCCTTCCCCATCCCAACATCCCTCCGGAACGCCACACTCCCCCCACTCACGCCCCTACACCTCCTGTACCTCCTCTCCCCCCTCGCATTCCTGCAGAGCACGCTCCTGGCGCAATACACCGGCGAGCTGGAGCGCGTGCAGGAGTACCTCCTCCACCCGCCTCAGATCCAGAGCAATATTTTCGCGCGCACCCTCCCCTCATCGGGGCCAAGGGCGAGCCTGCAGCTCTTCATCCTCTTGATAAACGGCTTCCTCGCGTTCGGCCTCAATGTTGTCAGCTTTAGCGCAAATCGGAAGATCGGGGCGTTGAGTATGACTGTCGCTGGTGAGCACTCTCTCCCTCCGTCTCCCCGTTCTCCCATCCTACCTGAGCAAGTCACTGACTCGTTTATTATTGCGCCTCCAGCGAACGTCAAGCAAGTCCTGACGATCCTCTGCGCAGTCGCTCTCTTCAACCTGACTATCACGCCGATGAACGCTATTGGGATCGTGCTCACCCTTTTTGGAGGGGCGGCATATGCGTCGGTGGAGTTGAGGGAGAAGAGGGAGAAGGCAGCCGCCTCGCTGCAGTGAGCATGACCGTCATACGACCACCAGGTCAAAAAGTAGGCTTTCCATTCTATGACATGCACATAACACACTATCTTCAGATACCTCGGTAGATAAACCCTCCTGTCATTTTCATTATCATTATAGATATGTATTATTTCGCATCGCCCCATCCTAGACTATATAGACTAGACAAGTGCGATCCAGATCTGTACGAGGAGTCAACATAAATTATACCATGGTCTCTAGATACCTGATCAAATAATTACTCAGGGTCTAAGTTGCTATGTCCGTGTCGATTAGTGGTCAAATCATCTCGTTGTGGAATGATCGTATCATGCTCAGCTCCGAGAAGCCGCAGGCTCGAATCCTGCTACGGACAGTTCATATTGTGTTTGTTTATCTTTTTACTTTTT